AATAATAATAATAATAATAATAATAATAATAATAATAATAATAATAATAATAATAATAATAATAATAATAATAATAATAAAATTACTAGCAACACTTTTAACCCTCTCTTTTTTTTTTCCTAACACTTTCTAATATTGTTTTAAAATCACAAATTTCAGAAGATTATAACATTAATTCAAAAAAGAGACTCATTAAATAAACTAGAATACCCACAAAATTCGTAATTTCTAATAAATATCATTAAAAAAAAGTGCTGCTACTATTCTTCTTAGTAATAATTGTGTTTTCTCTTTCAAAACACAAACCCTTTGTGGTAATTTAATTTCTTTCGTCAATAGAAATAATTTTAGATTCGTATAGTTCATTAAAAAAATCATGTTTTTCTACGTACCCAAACACGCTATTATCATTGTGCTATTAAAAATCGATTAACTATCGAGTTCTTAACCAAATAGGCTATAAGGCGGGTTTAATTACTCACAACAAATAATTTATTGTCTACGTGCTGAAGGTTAAACTATGTATTTGGACTAATTATTTTGAAAAGAAAAAAAAAATTGTTCTACTTCTAAAGATTTTTTAATACCGTAAATAACCCTAACTATACATTGGATAACAACTCCGACTCGTTCATCCAACTTGATGAAACTATATCTGGCTTGAATTTCAGAATTCTACTACTTATTCGAATAAAAGGATCACACCCTAGAAGCAAAAGGTATACATCACTGGACACGAATAGTATCTTAACAGAACATCAGAAAATCCATAAGACATGACAATTACAAGAAATGCAGCCATATAATGCTCGAGATTCTTCAGTACAACTACATAAATAGTTGGTGTTATCTATTACATCACATCATTTTATTCCATTTCTTACCGAGCTGCAAATCTGTCGCCTCAAGTACTATATCAAGTAGCACTTAAGAGCTCTCTTTCTCATACACTTCACTGGCATATTTCCAATTAATAACTTTCCAAATGTTCTTCAGATAGTCTGGTCTAACATTCTTGTACTGCAATAAGAAAAACAAAAGCAAACATCAGAAATTATTTTCACAACATATGTGCATCTAGGAATATCAGAAAAAGTGTAGCCCGTGTTTCCTTTCTTCGGATTGCCAAATAATAGCACCATGACTTTCAACATATGTAAGCGATGAAAAATGAGACATATATTTCCAGAACTTGGGTGAATATTCTCTTGAAAGGTGGACGGGGAAATGTGTAAATTCCAACTTCTAACCAACAGAGTAATAAAAATGAATACTCTATTGTAAGTTGCAAGTATCATTGACCTGAATCTTTAAAATTATAAGCTTAATTAAGCTGTTGATTTACATTTTCGTTTCAAGTAAGCTGTCCCCTGTCAAAGATATGTAACTATTCTAGGCAAAAATAAAATATATTTTTTTGAATATACCCCAAATTTTTCATTATTTAAAATAAATGGAAGTGTTACAAAAGGACCAAACCTACTTATCTAAAAAGCTAACTAGGGGGAATTGTCCAAGTCTTATAAGGAGTATTTTGCCCATACAATTAACCGTGTGGAACATCTTAACATATGCTTAAGACTAGACGCATCTAGAGTATGATGTTTGCCAGACTAGACCTCAGTGGGACCGGTGGGTTGCCCAACGTCAAGACTTGATGGTTTCTAATAGGATTAATTCCACTTTAACCATAGTAATCATACTTCCTACACTAATCAAAATAAGTTTCTTACCCCCAAAATTGTATAATAGTTAACACAAGTGCAAAGGAATGGCATATCATCAGTTTGTAAAAAATAGCAAAGCAAAACATGTATAAAATATTCAAACAAGAAACAAAAAAGTTAAGATTTTATACATTTTTTTATTTAAATATTTTATACATGTTTTCCTTTGCTAATTAATACATATTAATGATACCACACCTTTGCACTTCTGTTAATTATTGGATGGAATTTTGGGATGAGGGACTTGATTTGAACAGTTGAAAAACGAGGATTAAATGTGAGCTATTAAAACTATGAAGATCACAATCACACATAAGGTAGGAACTAAACGTGTAATTAAGCCTTTCTATTATTATACCCTATTAGAAATTGAATAGACCCAATTCAATTCCAAAAAATAGCTCAAGAAGGTGGGACAATTGCCTAACTCTTATAAGGAGCATTATGGCCTTATTCCCAATTAATGTGAGAGATCATAACAGAAACTAATTATAAAGTTCTGAAGCTTCAGTGAACATCATGGCCTCATAACCTACTTGTCTCTAGTATTAGTTGAGGTTCACACAAAGTTCAGAAAAGAAGCCCTATTTCAGATTTTGATTTACTAATCAATCAGTGGTATAAACTATCAAGATGCAAATAAATATAAAAGCTTTAGAATAATGTTTGAAGGTCAGATTTTCTACATTGTTAAAAAAAATCTATATTTTGAAGTGTTTTGAAATTGAGATAAGAACCAATTCAATTTTATTTTAACTGAACACGTAATTTTGAGATTTGCATTTGGAAACCAAAAATCAAAACTAACCCCAAACAGACCCTAAATTTGATAGCTCAACATTTATTTGCATCTCATAAGTCATAATGACCACACTGAAAATATACACAGCTTTCAAATAATGTCATTACAGCAACCATGCTATCACCAGTGGATCACCAAGTTCAAAATCTTACCTGCAAGTAATATGCATGCTCCCATACATCAACACCAAGCAATGGGACCAAATTTGGTCCCTTAGTAACCAGTGGGTCCTGCAAATACAATGTTCAGAATTACATCTGAAAATAAACGAACCAGTAACAATTTGTATGAACAGAGCATAAACATGATTCCCTAAATCTCAAAAAAATGAGCATGAGGAAAGAGGAAAACTAAAACAAGTTTTTTCTCTCCAGCTTCCATTATAGCAAGCAATCTTTCTATATCCTGAACACCATCAACATTTGCAGAAGTCCTCCACATTTCAACAATGTCGCTCAATTTTAAATGGGTCCCTACACTTCTTTTTAATTTGGTATTTAAGGACTAAGGACCCAATTCCAAATAAGAAAAGAAGTTCAGTAACCAATTTAAAAAGGTGAGAAAACCTATAGGAACTAAATATGTATTTACACCTATAAATAAACTCAGCCTCAAAAGTCAGATTAAAATAGTAAAGCATAGCATAACCTGTACTTTGAAATGTCAACAGAATTTACTAAAAAAGCCAGAAGAAGCAATACATATTGGACTGTTGAATCTCATTAATAATAAGATAAGGAATATAGACTATCGGTAAAAGCAATATACTGTAAGAGAATCTTGAATGGTGTGACAAGATATACAACAGAAAAACAAAAAGGCAGAATTGGAAGCCAAACCAAAACAAAGAGACTACTTTCATCTTTTTTTTTATTTTAATATGCTACTGCCGAACTATATATCCACTTGGCATAATATGGAACAAGGGGAGGGGCATTGGAGGTGGAAGGGATACTATACCTGGTTGGCAGTAGTTTCAACCACAAGCCTCTTCAACTCTTTGTCTAGACCAAGCCACTGGCAAAGCAGTACAAATTAAGCAAAAGGATACAAGGAATTTCAAATAACGACCAACACGTTAAGCTTATGAAAAGATGTTCTAGGAATTTCGGAATATGCACAACTCACCACCCATCCAGACCCCTGTAGCGCTGCACCTTCTGCATTAACTTTTTGTATCAATGCATCAAAGGAGCCAAAATGTGTGTCAATAGCCCATCCCAATGATCCCTTGGGTGGTTCACCACCTCCTTCCTGCACAAGGGTTGAAGTATTAGGTAATAGAATCACTGAAGACAAGAAACATTCCATAAAACAGGATCAAGGAACAAACTTACACGAACAGGAGCTAGATTTTTCCAGAAAATAGAATGGTTGATATGACCTGCAAATGTTTCATAGTCACGCACAAACAAAATTAAGCAACTTCAAAAATCATGAAAACTATATCCTTCCTCCATCCCTAAAAGGTATGTTTGATTCATTTCAAAACCAGGCACTATTTTTCGGAAAGAGTAAAACATGAAAAACATGTAAAAAAACTTCCAGATCACACTACAGTTAGATTTCTGCTTACTCTGAGTAGTCTTCATCCTTTCCTGAATCATCTTCACCTTCTCAATAGTCTGTAGGATCAGCTCCGGTCCCATAACCACTGTCTCACCATCCTGATACCAGCACAAAGGAGTCCTACATCTTCTTCCGTACAAGGCTTCAAACGGCGCCATCCCAATACTAGCATGAAAGCTATTATTGTAAGTAAACTCCACCAGCGATAGGACCTCCTCCCAGCTACCCAAGTGGTCTAACACGCAAGCCCTCAGCAGATCCTCCAAGGACTGGATTGTCCTCTCTGATTGATCATCCGTCTGTGGATGATAAGCAGAACTCAACTTCAGCTTCGTGCCTAGGGCTTGATGTAGACTCTGCCAAAATCTGGAAGTGAACCTCGGATCTCGGTCAGAAATAATACTGGAAGGCACCTCGTGCAACTGTACTATCTCCCTCACATACATCTGCGTTAGCTTCTCCAAGGACCACTTGATGTTGACAGGCAAGAAATGTGCACGCTTGGTCAACCGATCAACAATCACCCAGATAGCATCACTATTCCTAGCCGACCTAGGCAACCCGACAATGAAGTCCATAGTGATACTATCACACTTCCATTCTGGAATCTCCATCTGCTGCATCAACCCACTCGGCTTCTGATGCTCAACCTTCGCTTTCTGACAAGTCAGACAGGCCGCCACATATTCAGCTATCTCTCTCTTCATACCAGACCACCAGAAAGTCTTCTTGAGGTCTTGGTACATCTTAGTCATACCAGGATGTATGCTAAGTCTGCTTTTGTGGCCTTCCTCCAGTATAGCTCTCTTCAGCTCAGCATCTTGAGATAGGCAAATTCTGCCCTTAAACCTCAAGATTCCATCTTCTCCCAGCTCAAAACCAACAGCCTTCTTGGTACCCAGCAACCCAAGAAGCTTCACCAGCTTGACGTCTTGCAACTGATTTTGTCCAACCTGCCTCAAGAACTCACTAGTTATGGTAAGCATCCCACAACTAATGTGATCCTGAGCTAACTCTACATGGAGATTCAGATCTCTGAACTCCTCAACCAGCTCCAGCTCCTTCACCATCATACTAGACATGTGGATGGATTTCCTACTCAGCATATCCGCCACAACATTGGCCTTACCAGGGTGATACATCAACTGGAAATCGTAATCCTTCAGAAATTCCATCCACCGCCTCTGCCTCATGTTCAGTTCCTTCTGATCAAACAAGTACTTTAGACTCTTGTGATCACCGAAGACACTGAACCGAGCACCATATAAATAATGTCTCCATATCTTCAAGGCAAACACCACCGCTGCTAACTCCAAGTCATGAGTGGGATAATTTCTCTCATGATTCTTCAGCTACCTTGAAGCATATACCACCACTTTCCTGTTTTGCATCAGCACGCACCCCAGACCCTGGTGAGAAGCATCACAGTACACATCAAAAGGTTCACTAGAATCCGAAAACACTAGCACAGGAGAAGTAGTCAACCTCCTCTTCAGCTCATCAAAACTCTGCTCACAGGCATCTGTCCATATGAACGGCTGCTCCTTCCTCATCAACTGGGTTAAAGGTGCCACTATCTTGGAGAATCCCTCAATGAACCTCTTATAGTAACCCGCCAAACCCACAAAACTCCTAATATCCGTGACAGTTCTTGGACGCTCCCACTGCAACACCGACTCCACCTTAGTCGGGTCAACAACAATCCCCTCAGCTGAGATCACATGTCCCAAGAACTTCACCTCATCCAACCAGAACTCACATTTTGAAAGCTTAGCGTACAACTGTTTCGCCTTCATAATCTCCAGCACTAACCTCAAGTGCTCTCCATGCTCCTCCGGGGTCCTTGAATAAATTAAGATATCATCAATGAATACCACAACGAATTTATCCAAGAAGGGCCGAAAGATCTTGTTCATGTAATCCATGAACACTGCAGGGGCGTTGGTCACACCAAACGGCATCACAACATACTCGTAGTGACCATACCTAGTCCTGAAAGCAGTCTTCGGTATGTCACCCTCCTTCACCCATATTTGGTGATAGCCTGACCTCAAGTCAATCTTCGAGAAAACGGATGCTCCCCTCAGTTGGTCTATCAAGTCATCTATCCGGGGAAGTGGATATTTGTTCTTATTGATCAACTTGTTCAACTGCCGGTAATCAACACACAGTCGACTACCTCCATCCTTCTTTTTCACCAACAGCACAGGAGCACCCCACGGTGATACACTCGGCCGCACCAATTGTTTCTCCAACAGGTCCTCCAACTGACCCTTCAGCTCAACTAGCTCAGCAGGAGCCATCCTATAGGGAGCCACCGACACTGGCCCCGCACCTGGAACCAAGTCAATGCTAAACTCCATCTCCTTCACAGGAGGCAACCCTGGCACCTCATCCGAGAACACCTCAGCAAAATCCCGCACAACATCAATTTCAGCTATGACCCTTTCGGTCTCAACACTCAACGCAGCAAGTAGAAGACAGCACTCTGCCCCATCTCTCAGCAATGACTCAGCTTGGCCAGCTGAAATCAACAGCTCATCCTCCATCTGAGGAAAAACCAACCGCCTATTGGCACAATCTATAAGAATGCGATTGGCAGACAACCAAGTCATCCCTAAGATTATGTTAATATCCACCAAAGTGAAACAAATCAGGTTCACCTTATACTTCTTCTCATTCACCACAATCGGACAACCAGCACACAGCTCATAAGCAACTACCGAAGCAGAAGCGGGCGTCGACACTAGCAGTCTCGACCCCAAATCACACACAGGCACACCCAGCATAACAGCACATGCATAAGATATAAAGGAATGTGAAGCACCAGAGTCAAAAAGAATCATCACATCCTTACTAGCAGCTCTACCCTTCCCCTTCACAAGATCTGAGGAAGTAGAAGCTTCAGCCCCAGTCAAAGCGAAAACTCTACCAACTGTAGTGGGTCTGTCACCCCTCTAAGCATCACCTCTCTAGGCACCACTCCTCTGCGCATCACCCCTCTCTGGTCTACCTATAGTAGGACAGTTGGCCGACTCATGGCCCATCTGGTGGCATCTGAAACAACAGCTCTCAGTGTGCGGGCAGTCCCTCACAAAGTGGGGCCCGACATACCTATAACATCTCAGAGTGGCACCTCCACCCTGCCTCCCTCCACCTGCAGCACCAGAAGGTTGTCTAATGACAGGACCCCCTTGTTGAGGTTGGGGCCTATCATACGGCTTCCTCTGGTTCTTGCCTTTCTTGGACCCAGCTGGTCCCTCAACAGTCTTCACCCCGCGGTTACCACCTTCCAACCGCTCAACTACCTTCGCCTTCTCCACTAAGGCTGGAAACTCCGTGATGGCCATAGACACCATCACCCTCTTCAGATCATATTTCAGACCCTCCGCAAACTTCCAACATTTCCAGGCTTCAACTATACCTTGCGAATAAAAACGAGCCAAGTGCTCGAATCCCATCGCATATTCAGAAATAGTCATCCCTCCTTGGTGTAACCGCATGAACTCAGCTTCCTTGGCATGCCTCGCACTCTCAGGGAAATACTTCTCCAGGAACATCCTCTTGAAGCATTCCCAGTCAACAACCACCCCTCTGGCGATCAGCATGTGATGGGTACCTCTCCACCAGTGCTCTGCCTCCCCAACTAGCATATATACAGCATATGCCAACCTCCTCTCCTGTGAACAGTCCAGCACTGTAAAAATATTCTCTAGCTCACAAATCCAGTGGTCAGCTACCTCTGGATCTGCATCTCCTTTGAACTGTGGAGGATGGCACTTCCGGAACTCGGCTAGGTCCTGGCTCTCCTGTGACCCAGTGGGCCTTGCTGCACCAACCACAGCTCTATTCGCCTCTGCTCTAGCAAAATAGGCATTCTGTTGCTGCATAGCCATGGCCATCATCTCCATGGCCCGGGCTATCTGTTCGTTGGCTCTAGACATTGTCTACAAAAGTAACAACATCTTTAGTACACAATAACTAGACCAAACAGCAATCAACAGCACAACAAACATCACATCAATCAGCACAGCAACAACACAGCAAGACAACATAACACAGAGTTCAGCACAACAAAAGCCTAAAGGAACCACCCCCAAAGAGTGTCCACTAGACTCGAACTGCTCTAATACCACTAAAGTGTAACGACCCGGCTAGTCACTACACACGGCACGGCACACTAGAAACACTACACAGAAAGGAACAAGTGTATACATATAGGGTCTAGAATATATACATATACATGATCCAAGTCTGGATAGAGTTAAAGTGTACAAAATACATCAAAGGCTACACTACTGGGTAGCTAAACAGCAAAAGATCTAAAGGATCAGCTCCATCTGCCCGCTACAGACTCACCATCAGCTATCAACCTATCCCTGATCTACTCCTATACATAGTATGATCATCACAGTCCAAACATCATGGAAACAACAAAAGGTAAGCTAGTGTAAAGAAATCAACATACATATATAGCAATATGATAGAAAACAGCTACGACTATCAGCTAATCCACACAACTTATACTACACCACAACAATCCAGCAATATCAGCACTGCTTAGCGGCAATATCAGCACCGACTTAGTGGCTATAACAGCACCACTTAAGTGGCTATAACAGCACCGCTTAGCGGCAATAACAGCACCGACTTAGCGGCTATAACAGCACCACGATAGTGGCTAATGACAGCATCGACATAGCGGCTAGAACAGCACCACCATAGTGGCTAAACACAGCATACAACTCAGCAATTCACGGCACAACACAACAAATCAGCATGCAACACAGCTAGTAGTATTCAACACAGCCTACTACTCACAACTCAGCTCATCATTCTAGAGCACAGCAATATTCAT